TGGTGGTAAATTAGAGCGCAAATGGTATCGCCATGGCCAACCACATCCGCTGAGCCACCCCACGCAGCCTGCAACCGTGCAGAAGGCCTCGGTCCCGATTCTCGCCTTGGCCACCAGCAGCCCACCACCAGTGGCTACACGGCCTCTAGCGATGGCGCCAATGGCTCGTTGGTGGTAAATTAGTGCGCAAATGGTATCGCCATGGCCAGCCACATCCGCTGAGCCACCCCACGCAGCCTGCAACCGTGCAGAAGGCCTCGGTCCCGATTCTCGCCTTGCCCACCAGCAGCCCACCACCAGTGGCTACACGGCCCCTAGCGATGGCGCCAATGGCTCGTTGGTGGTAAATTAGAGCGCAAATGGTATCGCCATGGCCAGCCACATCCGCTGAGCCACCCCACGCAGCCTGCAACCGTGCAGAAGGCCTCGGTCCCGATTCTCGCCTTGCCCACCAGCAGCCCACCACCAGTGGCTACACGGCCCCTAGCGATGGCGCCAATGGCTCGTTGGTGGTAAATTAGAGCGCAAATGGTATCGCCATGGCCAGCCACATCCGCTGAGCCACCCCACGCAGCCTGCAACCGTGCAGAAGGCCTCGGTCCCGATTCTCGCCTTGGCCACCAGCAGCCCACCACCAGTGGCTACACGGCCTCTAGCGATGGCGCCAATGGCTCGTTGGTGGTAAATTAGAGCGCAAATGGTATCGCCATGGCCAGCCACATCCGCTGAGCCACCCCACGCAGCCTGCAACCGTGCAGAAGGCCTCGGTCCCGATTCTCGCCTTGCCCACCAGCAGCCCACCACCAGTGGCTACACGGCCTCTAGCGATGGCGCCAATGGCTCGTTGGTGGTAAATTAGAGCGCAAATGGTATCGCCATGGCCAGCCACATCCGCTGAGCCACCCCACGCAGCCTGCAACCGTGCAGAAGGCCTCGGTCCCGATTCTCGCCTTGCCCACCAGCAGCCCACCACCAGTGGCTACACGGCCTCTAGCGATGGCGCCAATGGCTCGTTGGTGGTAAATTAGTGCGCAAATGGTATCGCCATGGCCAGCCACATCCGCTGAGCCACCCCACGCAGCCTGCAACCGTGCAGAAGGCCTCGGTCCCGATTCTCGCCTTGCCCACCAGCAGCCCACCACCAGTGGCTACACGGCCTCTAGCGATGGCGCCAATGGCTCGTTGGTGGTAAATTAGAGCGCAAATGGTATCGCCATGGCCAGCCACATCCGCTGAGCCACCCCACGCAGCCTGCAACCGTGCAGGAGGCCTCGGTCCCGATTCTCGCCTTGCCCACCAGCAGCCCACCACCAGTGGCTACACGGCCTCTAGCGATGGCGCCAATGGCTCGTTGGTGGTAAATTAGTGCGCAAATGGTATCGCCATGGCCAGCCACATCCGCTGAGCCACCCCACGCGGCCTGCAACCGTGCAGAAGGCCTCGGTCCCGATTCTCGCCTTGGCCACCAGCAGCCCACCACCAGTGGCTACACGGCCTCTAGCGATGGCGCCAATGGCTCGTTGGTGGTAAATTAGAGCGCAAATGGTATCGCCATGGCCAGCCACATCCGCTGAGCCACCCCACGCAGCCTGCAACCGTGCAGGAGGCCTCGGTCCCGATTCTCGCCTTGCCCACCAGCAGCCCACCACCAGTGGCTACACGGCCTCTAGCGATGGCGCCAATGGCTCGTTGGCGGTCAATTAGAGCGCAAATGGTATCGCCATGGCTAGCCACGTCCGCTGAGCCACCCCACGCAGCCTGCAACCGTGCAGAAGGCCTCGGTCCCGATTCTCGCCTTGGCCACCAGCAGCCCACCACCAGTGGCTACACGGCCTCTAGCGATGGCGCCATTGGCTCGTTGGTGGTAAATTAGTGCGCAAATGGTATCGCCATGGCCAGCCACATCCGCTGAGCCACCCCACGCAGCCTGCAACCGTGCAGAAGGCCTCGGTCCCGATTCTCGCCTTGGCCACCAGCAGCCCACCACCAGTGGCTACACGGCCTCTAGCGATGGCGCCAATGGCTCGTTGTCGGTCAATTAGAGCGCAAATGGTATCGCCATGGCCAGCCACATCCGCTGAGCCACCCCACGCAGCCTGCAACCGTGCACAAGGCCTCGGTCCCGATTCTCGCCTTGGCCACCAGCAGCCCACCAGCAGTGGCTACACGGCCTCTAGCGATGGCGCCAATGGCTCGTTGTCGGTCAATTAGTGCGCAAATGGTATCGCCATGGCCAGCCACATCCGCTGAGCCACCCCACGCAGCCTGCAACCGTGCAGAAGGCCTCGGTCCCGATTCTCGCCTTGGCCACCAGCAGCCCACCACCAGTGGCTACACGGCCTTTAGCGATGGCGCCAATGGCTCGTTGGCGGTCAATTAGAGCGCAAATGGTATCGCCATGGCCAGCCACATCCGCTGAGCCACCCCACGCAGCCTGCAACCGTGCAGAAGGCCTCGGTCCCGATTCTCGCCTTGGCCACCAGCAGCCCACCACCAGTGGCTACACGGCCTTTAGCGATGGCGCCAATGGCTCGTTGGTGGTAAATTAGAGCGCAAATGGTATCGCCATGGCCAGCCACATCCGCTGAGCCACCCCACGCAGCCTGCAACCGTGCAGAAGGCCTCGGTCCCGATTCTCGCCTTGGCCACCAGCAGCCCACCACCAGTGGCTACACGGCCCCTAGCGATGGCGCCAATGGCTCGTTGGTGGTAAATTAGAGCGCAAATGGTATCGCCATGGCCAGCCACATCCGCTGAGCCACCCCACGCGGCCTGCAACCGTGCAGAAGGCCTCGGTCCCGATTCTCGCCTTGCCCACCAGCAGCCCACCACCAGTGGCTACACGGCCCTTAGCGATGGCGCCAATGGCTCGTTGGTGGTAAATTAGAGCGCAAATGGTATCGCCATGGCCAGCCACATCCGCTGAGCCACCCCACGCAGCCTGCAACCGTGCAGAAGGCCTCGGTCCCGATTCTCGCCTTGCCCACCAGCAGCCCACCACCAGTGGCTACACGGCCTCTAGCGATGGCGCCAATGGCTCGTTGGCGGTAAATTAGAGCGCAAATGGTATCGCCATGGCCAGCCACATCCGCTGAGCCACCCCACGCGGCCTGCAACCGTGCAGAAGGCCTCGGTCCCGATTCTCGCCTTGGCCACCAGCAGCCCACCACCAGTGGCTACACGGCCCCTAGCGATGGCGCCAATGGCTCGTTGGTGGTAAATTAGAGCGCAAATGGTATCGCCATGGCCAGCCACATCCGCTGAGCCACCCCACGCGGCCTGCAACCGTGCAGAAGGCCTCGGTCCCGATTCTCGCCTTGGCCACCAGCAGCCCACCACCAGTGGCTACACGGCCTCTAGCGATGGCGCCAATGGCTCGTTGGTGGTAAATTAGAGCGCAAATGGTATCGCCATGGCCAGCCACATCCGCTGAGCCACCCCACGCGGCCTGCAACCGTGCAGAAGGCCTCGGTCCCGATTCTCGCCTTGGCCACCAGCAGCCCACCACCAGTGGCTACACGGCCCCTAGCGATGGCGCCAATGGCTCGTTGGTGGTAAATTAGAGCGCAAATGGTATCGCCATGGCCAGCCACATCCGCTGAGCCACCCCACGCGGCCTGCAACCGTGCAGAAGGCCTCGGTCCCGATTCTCGCCTTGCCCACCAGCAGCCCACCACCAGTGGCTACACGGCCTCTAGCGATGGCGCCAATGGCTCGTTGGTGGTAAATTAGAGCGCAAATGGTATCGCCATGGCCAGCCACATCCGCTGAGCCACCCCACGCGGCCTGCAACCGTGCAGAAGGCCTCGGTCCCGATTCTCGCCTTGCCCACCAGCAGCCCACCACCAGTGGCTACACGGCCTCTAGCGATGGCGCCAATGGCTCGTTGTCGGTCAATTAGAGCGCAAATGGTATCGCCATGGCCAGCCGCATCCGCTGAGCCACCCCACGCGGCCTGCAACCGTGCAGAAGGCCTCGGTCCCGATTCTCGCCTTGGCCACCAGCAGCCCACCACCAGTGGCTACACGGCCCCTAGCGATGGCGCCAATGGCTCGTTGGTGGTAAATTAGAGCGCAAATGGTATCGCCATGGCCAGCCACATCCGCTGAGCCACCCCACGCAGCCTGCAACCGTGCAGAAGGCCTCGGTCCCGATTCTCGCCTTGCCCACCAGCAGCCCACCACCAGTGGCTACACGGCCTCTAGCGATGGCGCCAATGGCTCGTTGGTGGTAAATTAGAGCGCAAATGGTATCGCCATGGCCAGCCACGTCCGCTGAGCCACCCCACGCAGCCTGCAACCGTGCAGAAGGCCTCGGTCCCGATTCTCGCCTTGGCCACCAGCAGCCCACCACCAGTGGCTACACGGCCTCTAGCGATGGCGCCAATGGCTCGTTGTCGGTCAATTAGAGCGCAAATGGTATCGCCATGGCCAGCCACGTCCGCTGAGCCACCCCACGCAGCCTGCAACCGTGCAGAAGGCCTCGGTCCCGATTCTCGCCTTGGCCACCAGCAGCCCACCACCAGTGGCTACACGGCCTCTAGCGATGGCGCCAATGGCTCGTTGGTGGTAAATTAGAGCGCAAATGGTATCGCCATGGCCAGCCACGTCCGCTGAGCCACCCCACGCAGCCTGCAACCGTGCAGAAGGCCTCGGTCCCGATTCTCGCCTTGGCCACCAGCAGCCCACCACCAGTGGCTACACGGCCTCTAGCGATGGCGCCAATGGCTCGTTGTCGGTCAATTAGAGCGCAAATGGTATCGCCATGGCCAGCCACATCCGCTGAGCCACCCCACGCGGCCTGCAACCGTGCAGAAGGCCTCGGTCCCGATTCTCGCCTTGGCCACCAGCAGCCCACCACCAGTGGCTACACGGCCTCTAGCGATGGCGCCAATGGCTCGTTGGTGGTAAATTAGAGCGCAAATGGTATCGCCATGGCCAGCCACATCCGCTGAGCCACCCCACGCAGCCTGCAACCGTGCAGAAGGCCTCGGTCCCGATTCTCGCCTTGGCCACCAGCAGCCCACCACCAGTGGCTACACGGCCTCTAGCGATGGCGCCAATGGCTCGTTGGTGGTAAATTAGAGCGCAAATGGTATCGCCATGGCCAGCCACATCCGCTGAGCCACCCCACGCAGCCTGCAACCGTGCAGAAGGCCTCGGTCCCGATTCTCGCCTTGGCCACCAGCAGCCCACCACCAGTGGCTACACGGCCTCTAGCGATGGCGCCAATGGCTCGTTGGTGGTAAATTAGTGCGCAAATGGTATCGCCATGGCCAGCCACATCCGCTGAGCCACCCCACGCAGCCTGCAACCGTGTAGAAGGCCTCGGTCCCGATTCTCGCCTTGCCCACCAGCAGCCCACCACCAGTGGCTACACGGCCCCTAGCGATGGCGCCATTGGCTCGTTGGTGGTAAATTAGAGCGCAAAAGGTATCGCCATGGCCAGCCACATCCGCTGAGCCACCCCACGCGGCCTGCAACCGTGCAGAAGGCCTCGGTCCCGATTCTCGCCTTGGCCACCAGCAGCCCACCACCTGTGGCTACACGGCCCCTAGCGATGGCGCCAATGGCTCGTTGTCGGTCAATTAGTGCGCAAATGGTATCTCCATGGCCAGCCACATCCGCTGAGCCACCCCACGCAGCCTGCAACCGTGCAGAAGGCCTCGGTCCCGATTCTCGCCTTGGCCACCAGCAGCCCACCACCAGTGGCTACACGGCCTCTAGCGATGGCGCCAATGGCTCGTTGGTGGTAAATTAGAGCGCAAATGGTATCGCCATGGCCAGCCACATCCGCTGAGCCACCCCACGCAGCCTGCAACCGTGCAGAAGGCCTCGGTCCCGATTCTCGCCTTGGCCACCAGCAGCCCACCACCAGTGGCTACACGGCCTCTAGCGATGGCGCCAATGGCTCGTTGGTGGTAAATTAGAGCGCAAATGGTATCGCCATGGCCAGCCACATCCGCTGAGCCACCCCACGCAGCCTGCAACCGTGCAGAAGGCCTCGGTCCCGATTCTCGCCTTGCCCACCAGCAGCCCACCACCAGTGGCTACACGGCCCCTAGCGATGGCGCCAATGGCTCGTTGGTGGTAAATTAGAGCGCAAATGGTATCGCCATGGCCAGCCACATCCGCTGAGCCACCCCACGCAGCCTGCAACCGTGCAGAAGGCCTCGGTCCCGATTCTCGCCTTGGCCACCAGCAGCCCACCACCAGTGGCTACACGGCCTCTAGCGATGGCGCCAATGGCTCGTTGGTGGTAAATTAGAGCGCAAATGGTATCGCCATGGCCAGCCACATCCGCTGAGCCACCCCACGCAGCCTGCAACCGTGCAGAAGGCCTCGGTCCCGATTCTCGCCTTGGCCACCAGCAGCCCACCACCAGTGGCTACACGGCCTCTAGCGATGGCGCCAATGGCTCGTTGGTGGTAAATTAGAGCGCAAATGGTATCGCCATGGCCAGCCACATCCGCTGAGCCACCCCACGCGGCCTGCAACCGTGCAGAAGGCCTCGGTCCCGATTCTCGCCTTGCCCACCAGCAGCCCACCACCAGTGGCTACACGGCCTCTAGCGATGGCGCCAATGGCTCGTTGGTGGTAAATTAGAGCGCAAATGGTATCGCCATGGCCAGCCACATCCGCTGAGCCACCCCACGCAGCCTGCAACCGTGCAGAAGGCCTCGGTCCCGATTCTCGCCTTGCCCACCAGCAGCCCACCACCAGTGGCTACACGGCCTCTAGCGATGGCGCCAATGGCTCGTTGTCGGTCAATTAGAGCGCAAATGGTATCGCCATGGCCAGCCACGTCCGCTGAGCCACCCCACGCAGCCTGCAACCGTGCAGAAGGCCTCGGTCCCGATTCTCGCCTTGCCCACCAGCAGCCCACCACCTGTGGCTACACGGCCCCTAGCGATGGCGCCATTGGCTCGTTGGTGGTAAATTAGTGCGCAAATGGTATCGCCATGGCCAGCCACATCCGCTGAGCCACCCCACGCGGCCTGCAACCGTGCAGAAGGCCTCGGTCCCGATTCTCGCCTTGGCCACCAGCAGCCCACCACCAGTGGCTACACGGCCCCTAGCGATGGCGCCAATGGCTCGTTCGTGGTAAATTAGAGCGCAAATGGTATCGCCATGGCCAGCCACATCCGCTGAGCCACCCCACGCGGCCTGCAACCGTGCAGAAGGCCTCGGTCCCGATTCTCGCCTTGGCCACCAGCAGCCCACCACCAGTGGCTACACGGCCCCTAGCGATGGCGCCAATGGCTCGTTCGTGGTAAATTAGTGCGCAAATGGTATCGCCATGGCCAGCCACATCCGCTGAGCCACCCCACGCAGCCTGCAACCGTGCAGAAGGCCTCGGTCCCGATTCTCGCCTTGGCCACCAGCAGCCCACCACCAGTGGCTACACGGCCTCTAGCGATGGCGCCAATGGCTCGTTCGTGGTAAATTAGAGCGCAAATGGTATCGCCATGGCCAGCCACATCCGCTGAGCCACCCCACGCAGCCTGCAACCGTGCAGAAGGCCTCGGTCCCGATTCTCGCCTTGCCCACCAGCAGCCCACCACCAGTGGCTACACGGCCCCTAGCGATGGCGCCATTGGCTCGTTGGTGGTAAATTAGAGCGCAAATGGTATCGCCATGGCCAGCCACATCCGCTGAGCCACCCCACGCGGCCTGCAACCGTGCAGAAGGCCTCGGTCCCGATTCTCGCCTTGCCCACCAGCAGCCCACCACCGGTGGCTACACGGCCCCTAGCGATGGCGCCATTGGCTCGTTGGTGGTAAATTAGAGCGCAAATGGTATCGCCATGGCCAGCCACATCCGCTGAGCCACCCCACGCGGCCTGCAACCGTGCAGAAGGCCTCGGTCCCGATTCTCGCCTTGGCCACCAGCAGCCCACCACCTGTGGCTACACGGCCCCTAGCGATGGCGCCAATGGCTCGTTGGTGGCAAATTAGAGCGCAAATGGTATCGCCATGGCCAGCCACATCCGCTGAGCCACCCCACGCAGCCTGCAACCGTGCAGAAGGCCTCGGTCCCGATTCTCGCCTTGCCCACCAGCAGCCCACCACCAGTGGCTACACGGCCTCTAGCGATGGCGCCAATGGCTCGTTGGTGGTAAATTAGTGCGCAAATGGTATCGCCATGGCCAGCCACATCCGCTGAGCCACCCCACGCAGCCTGCAACCGTGTAGAAGGCCTCGGTCCCGATTCTCGCCTTGCCCACCAGCAGCCCACCACCAGTGGCTACACGGCCCCTAGCGATGGCGCCATTGGCTCGTTGGTGGTAAATTAGAGCGCAAAAGGTATCGCCATGGCCAGCCACATCCGCTGAGCCACCCCACGCGGCCTGCAACCGTGCAGAAGGCCTCGGTCCCGATTCTCGCCTTGGCCACCAGCAGCCCACCACCTGTGGCTACACGGCCCCTAGCGATGGCGCCAATGGCTCGTTGTCGGTCAATTAGTGCGCAAATGGTATCTCCATGGCCAGCCACATCCGCTGAGCCACCCCACGCAGCCTGCAACCGTGCAGAAGGCCTCGGTCCCGATTCTCGCCTTGGCCACCAGCAGCCCACCACCAGTGGCTACACGGCCTCTAGCGATGGCGCCAATGGCTCGTTGGTGGTAAATTAGAGCGCAAATGGTATCGCCATGGCCAGCCACATCCGCTGAGCCACCCCACGCAGCCTGCAACCGTGCAGGAGGCCTCGGTCCCGATTCTCGCCTTGGCCACCAGCAGCCCACCACCAGTGGCTACACGGCCCCTAGCGATGGCGCCAATGGCTCGTTGTCGGTCAATTAGTGCGCAAATGGTATCTCCATGGCCAGCCACATCCGCTGAGCCACCCCACGCAGCCTGCAACCGTGCAGAAGGCCTCGGTCCCGATTCTCGCCTTGGCCACCAGCAGCCCACCACCAGTGGCTACACGGCCTCTAGCGATGGCGCCAATGGCTCGTTGGTGGTAAATTAGAGCGCAAATGGTATCGCCATGGCCAGCCACATCCGCTGAGCCACCCCACGCGGCCTGCAACCGTGCAGAAGGCCTCGGTCCCGATTCTCGCCTTGCCCACCAGCAGCCCACCACCAGTGGCTACACGGCCTCTAGCGATGGCGCCAATGGCTCGTTGGTGGTAAATTAGAGCGCAAATGGTATCGCCATGGCCAGCCACATCCGCTGAGCCACCCCACGCAGCCTGCAACCGTGCAGAAGGCCTCGGTCCCGATTCTCGCCTTGCCCACCAGCAGCCCACCACCAGTGGCTACACGGCCCCTAGCGATGGCGCCAATGGCTCGTTGGTGGTAAATTAGAGCGCAAATGGTATCGCCATGGCCAGCCACATCCGCTGAGCCACCCCACGCGGCCTGCAACCGTGCAGAAGGCCTCGGTCCCGATTCTCGCCTTGCCCACCAGCAGCCCACCACCAGTGGCTACACGGCCTCTAGCGATGGCGCCAATGGCTCGTTGGTGGTAAATTAGAGCGCAAATGGTATCGCCATGGCCAGCCACATCCGCTGAGCCACCCCACGCGGCCTGCAACCGTGCAGAAGGCCTCGGTCCCGATTCTCGCCTTGCCCACCAGCAGCCCACCACCAGTGGCTACACGGCCTCTAGCGATGGCGCCAATGGCTCGTTGGTGGTAAATTAGAGCGCAAATGGTATCGCCATGGCCAGCCACATCCGCTGAGCCACCCCACGCAGCCTGCAACCGTGCAGAAGGCCTCGGTCCCGATTCTCGCCTTGCCCACCAGCAGCCCACCACCAGTGGCTACACGGCCTCTAGCGATGGCGCCAATGGCTCGTTGGTGGTAAATTAGAGCGCAAATGGTATCGCCATGGCCAGCCACATCCGCTGAGCCACCCCACGCAGCCTGCAACCGTGCAGAAGGCCTCGGTCCCGATTCTCGCCTTGGCCACCAGCAGCCCACCAGCAGTGGCTACACGGCCTCTAGCGATGGCGCCAATGGCTCGTTCGTGGTAAATTAGAGCGCAAATGGTATCGCCATGGCCAGCCACATCCGCTGAGCCACCCCACGCGGCCTGCAACCGTGCAGAAGGCCTCGGTCCCGATTCTCGCCTTGCCCACCAGCAGCCCACCACCTGTGGCTACACGGCCCCTAGCGATGGCGCCAATGGCTCGTTGTCGGTCAATTAGAGCGCAAATGGTATCGCCATGGCCAGCCACGTCCGCTGAGCCACCCCACGCAGCCTGCAACCGTGCAGAAGGCCTCGGTCCCGATTCTCGCCTTGCCCACCAGCAGCCCACCACCTGTGGCTACACGGCCCCTAGCGATGGCGCCAATGGCTCGTTGTCGGTCAATTAGAGCGCAAATGGTATCGCCATGGCCAGCCACATCCGCTGAGCCACCCCACGCAGCCTGCAACCGTGCAGAAGGCCTCGGTCCCGATTCTCGCCTTGGCCACCAGCAGCCCACCACCAGTGGCTACACGGCCCCTAGCGATGGCGCCAATGGCTCGTTGGTGGTAAATTAGTGCGCAAATGGTATCGCCATGGCCAGCCACATCCGCTGAGCCACCCCACGCAGCCTGCAACCGTGTAGAAGGCCTCGGTCCCGATTCTCGCCTTGCCCACCAGCAGCCCACCACCAGTGGCTACACGGCCCCTAGCGATGGCGCCATTGGCTCGTTGGTGGTAAATTAGAGCGCAAAAGGTATCGCCATGGCCAGCCACATCCGCTGAGCCACCCCACGCAGCCTGCAACCGTGCAGAAGGCCTCGGTCCCGATTCTCGCCTTGGCCACCAGCAGCCCACCACCAGTGGCTACACGGCCTCTAGCGATGGCGCCAATGGCTCGTTGGTGGTAAATTAGAGCGCAAATGGTATCGCCATGGCCAGCCACATCCGCTGAGCCACCCCACGCAGCCTGCAACCGTGCAGAAGGCCTCGGTCCCGATTCTCGCCTTGGCCACCAGCAGCCCACCACCAGTGGCTACACGGCCTCTAGCGATGGCGCCAATGGCTCGTTGGTGGTAAATTAGAGCGCAAATGGTATCGCCATGGCCAGCCACATCCGCTGAGCCACCCCACGCAGCCTGCAACCGTGCAGAAGGCCTCGGTCCCGATTCTCGCCTTGGCCACCAGCAGCCCACCACCAGTGGCTACACGGCCTCTAGCGATGGCGCCAATGGCTCGTTGGTGGTAAATTAGAGCGCAAATGGTATCGCCATGGCCAGCCACATCCGCTGAGCCACCCCACGCAGCCTGCAACCGTGCAGAAGGCCTCGGTCCCGATTCTCGCCTTGGCCACCAGCAGCCCACCACCAGTGGCTACACGGCCTCTAGCGATGGCGCCAATGGCTCGTTGGTGGTAAATTAGTGCGCAAATGGTATCGCCATGGCCAGCCACATCCGCTGAGCCACCCCACGCGGCCTGCAACCGTGCAGAAGGCCTCGGTCCCGATTCTCGCCTTGCCCACCAGCAGCCCACCACCAGTGGCTACACGGCCTCTAGCGATGGCGCCAATGGCTCGTTGGTGGTAAATTAGTGCGCAAATGGTATCGCCATGGCCAGCCACATCCGCTGAGCCACCCCACGCAGCCTGCAACCGTGCAGAAGGCCTCGGTCCCGATTCTCGCCTTGCCCACCAGCAGCCCACCACCAGTGGCTACACGGCCTCTAGCGATGGCGCCAATGGCTCGTTGGTGGTAAATTAGAGCGCAAATGGTATCGCCATGGCCAGCCACATCCGCTGAGCCACCCCACGCAGCCTGCAACCGTGCAGAAGGCCTCGGTCCCGATTCTCGCCTTGGCCACCAGCAGCCCACCACCAGTGGCTACACGGCCTCTAGCGATGGCGCCAATGGCTCGTTGGTGGTAAATTAGAGCGCAAATGGTATCGCCATGGCCAGCCACATCCGCTGAGCCACCCCACGCAGCCTGCAACCGTGCAGAAGGCCTCGGTCCCGATTCTCGCCTTGGCCACCAGCAGCCCACCACCAGTGGCTACACGGCCTCTAGCGATGGCGCCAATGGCTCGTTGGTGGTAAATTAGAGCGCAAATGGTATCGCCATGGCCAGCCACATCCGCTGAGCCACCCCACGCAGCCTGCAACCGTGCAAAAGGCCTCGGTCCCGATTCTCGCCTTGGCCACCAGCAGCCCACCACCTGTGGCTACACGGCCTCTAGCGATGGCGCCAATGGCTCGTTGGTGGTAAATTAGAGCGCAAATGGTATCGCCATGGCCAGCCACATCCGCTGAGCCACCCCACGCAGCCTGCAACCGTGCAGAAGGCCTCGGTCCCGATTCTCGCCTTGGCCACCAGCAGCCCACCACCAGTGGCTACACGGCCTCTAGCGATGGCGCCAATGGCTCGTTGTCGGTCAATTAGAGCGCAAATGGTATCGCCATGGCCAGCCACATCCGCTGAGCCACCCCACGCAGCCTGCAACCGTGCAGAAGGCCTCGGTCCCGATTCTCGCCTTGGCCACCAGCAGCCCACCACCAGTGGCTACACGGCCTCTAGCGATGGCGCCAATGGCTCGTTGTCGGTCAATTAGAGCGCAAATGGTATCGCCATGGCCAGCCACATCCGCTGAGCCACCCCACGCAGCCTGCAACCGTGCAGAAGGCCTCGGTCCCGATTCTCGCCTTGGCCACCAGCAGCCCACCAGCAGTGGCTACACGGCCTCTAGCGATGGCGCCAATGGCTCGTTGTCGGTCAATTAGTGCGCAAATGGTATCGCCATGGCCAGCCACATCCGCTGAGCCACCCCACGCAGCCTGCAACCGTGCAGAAGGCCTCGGTCCCGATTCTCGCCTTGGCCACCAGCAGCCCACCAGCAGTGGCTACACGGCCTCTAGCGATGGCGCCAATGGCTCGTTCGTGGTAAATTAGTGCGCAAATGGTATCGCCATGGCCAGCCACATCCGCTGAGCCACCCCACGCAGCCTGCAACCGTGTAGAAGGCCTCGGTCCCGATTCTCGCCTTGGCCACCAGCAGCCCACCAGCAGTGGCTACACGGCCTCTAGCGATGGCGCCAATGGCTCGTTGGTGGTAAATTAGTGCGCAAATGGTATCGCCATGGCCAGCCACATCCGCTGAGCCACCCCACGCGGCCTGCAACCGTGCAGAAGGCCTCGGTCCCGATTCTCGCCTTGCCCACCAGCAGCCCACCACCAGTGGCTACACGGCCCCTAGCGATGGCGCCAATGGCTCGTTGTCGGTCAATTAGTGCGCAAATGGTATCGCCATGGCCAGCCACATCCGCTGAGCCACCCCACGCAGCCTGCAACCGTGCAGAAGGCCTCGGTCCCGATTCTCGCCTTGCCCACCAGCAGCCCACCACCAGTGGCTACACGGCCCCTAGCGATGGCGCCAATGGCTCGTTGTCGGTCAATTAGAGCGCAAATGGTATCGCCATGGCCAGCCACATCCGCTGAGCCACCCCACGCGGCCTGCAACCGTGCAGAAGGCCTCGGTCCCGATTCTCGCCTTGCCCACCAGCAGCCCACCACCAGTGGCTACACGGCCCCTAGCGATGGCGCCAATGGCTCGTTGTCGGTCAATTAGAGCGCAAATGGTATCGCCATGGCCAGCCACATCCGCTGAGCCACCCCACGCGGCCTGCAACCGTGCAGAAGGCCTCGGTCCCGATTCTCGCCTTGCCCACCAGCAGCCCACCACCAGTGGCTACACGGCCCCTAGCGATGGCGCCAATGGCTCGTTGTCGGTCAATTAGTGCGCAAATGGTATCGCCATGGCCAGCCACATCCGCTGAGCCACCCCACGCAGCCTGCAACCGTGCAGAAGGCCTCGGTCCCGATTCTCGCCTTGGCCACCAGCAGCCCACCACCAGTGGCTACACGGCCCTTAGCGATGGCGCCAATGGCTCGTTGTCGGTCAATTAGAGCGCAAATGGTATCGCCATGGCCAGCCACATCCGCTGAGCCACCCCACGCGGCCTGCAACCGTGCAGAAGGCCTCGGTCCCGATTCTCGCCTTGGCCACCAGCAGCCCACCACCAGTGGCTACACGGCCCCTAGCGATGGCGCCAATGGCTCGTTGGTGTAAATTAGTGCGCAAATGGTATCGCCATGGCCAGCCACATCCGCTGAGCCACCCCACGCGGCCTGCAACCGTGCAGAAGGCCTCGGTCCCGATTCTCGCCTTGGCCACCAGCAGCCCACCACCAGTGGCTACACGGCCTCTAGCGATGGCGCCAATGGCTCGTTGGTGGTAAATTAGTGCGCAAATGGTATCGCCATGGCCAGCCACATCCGCTGAGCCACCCCACGCGGCCTGCAACTGTGCAGAAGGCCTCGGTCCCGATTCTCGCCTTGCCCACCAGCAGCCCACCACCTGTGGCTACACGGCCCCTAGCGATGGCGCCATTGGCTCGTTGGTGGTAAATTAGTGCGCAAATGGTATCGCCATGGCCAGCCACATCCGCTGAGCCACCCCACGCGGCCTGCAACCGTGCAGAAGGCCTCGGTCCCGATTCTCGCCTTGCCCACCAGCAGCCCACCACCAGTGGCTACACGGCCCCTAGCGATGGCGCCAATGGCTCGTTGGTGGTAAATTAGTGCGCAAATGGTATCGCCATGGCCAGCCACATCCGCTGAGCCACCCCACGCGGCCTGCAACCGTGCAGAAGGCCTCGGTCCCGATTCTCGCCTTGGCCACCAGCAGCCCACCACCTGTGGCTACACGGCCTCTAGCGATGGCGCCAATGGCTCGTTGGTGGTAAATTAGAGCGCAAATGGTATCGCCATGGCCAGCCACATCCGCTGAGCCACCCCACGCGGCCTGCAACCGTGCAAAAGGCCTCGGTCCCGATTCTCGCCTTGGCCACCAGCAGCCCACCACCAGTGGCTACACGGCCTCTAGCGATGGCGCCAATGGCTCGTTGGTGGTAAATTAGTGCGCAAATGGTATCGCCATGGCCAGCCACATCCGCTGAGCCACCCCACGCGGCCTGCAACCGTGCAGAAGGCCTCGGTCCCGATTCTCGCCTTGGCCACCAGCAGCCCACCACCAGTGGCTACACGGCCCCTAGCGATGGCGCCATTGGCTCGTTGGTGGTAAATTAGAGCGCAAATGGTATCGCCATGGCCAGCCACATCCGCTGAGCCACCCCACGCAGCCTGCAACCGTGCAGAAGGCCTCGGTCCCGATTCTCGCCTTGGCCACCAGCAGCCCACCACCAGTGGCTACACGGCCTCTAGCGATGGCGCCATTGGCTCGTTGGTGGTAAATTAGAGCGCAAATGGTATCGCCATGGCCAGCCACATCCGCTGAGCCACCCCACGCAGCCTGCAACCGTGCAGAAGGCCTCGGTCCCGATTCTCGCCTTGGCCACCAGCAGCCCACCACCAGTGGCTACACGGCCTCTAGCGATGGCGCCAATGGCTCGTTGGTGGTAAATTAGAGCGCAAATGGTATCGCCATGGCCAGCCACATCCGCTGAGCCACCCCACGCAGCCTGCAACCGTGCAGAAGGCCTCGGTCCCGATTCTCGCCTTGGCCACCAGCAGCCCACCACCAGTGGCTACACGGCCTCTAGCGATGGCGCCAATGGCTCGTTGGTGGTAAATTAGAGCGCAAATGGTATCGCCATGGCCAGCCACATCCGCTGAGCCACCCCACGCAGCCTGCAACCGTGCAGAAGGCCTCGGTCCCGATTCTCGCCTTGGCCACCAGCAGCCCACCACCAGTGGCTACACGGCCCCTAGCGATGGCGCCAATGGCTCGTTGGTGGTAAATTAGAGCGCAAATGGTATCGCCATGGCCAGCCACATCCGCTGAGCCACCCCACGCGGCCTGCAACCGTGCAGAAGGCCTCGGTCCCGATTCTCGCCTTGCCCACCAGCAGCCCACCACCAGTGGCTACACGGCCCCTAGCGATGGCGCCAATGGCTCGTTGGTGGTAAATTTGAGCGCAAATGGTATCGCCATGGCCAGCCACATCCGCTGAGCCACCCCACGCAGCCTGCAACCGTGCAGAAGGCCTCGGTCCCGATTCTCGCCTTGGCCACCAGCAGCCCACCACCAGTGGCTACACGGCCTCTAGCGATGGCGCCAATGGCTCGTTGGTGGTAAATTAGAGCGCAAATGGTATCGCCATGGCCAGCCACATCCGCTGAGCCACCCCACGCAGCCTGCAACCGTGCAGAAGGCCTCGGTCCCGATTCTCGCCTTGGCCACCAGCAGCCCACCACCAGTGGCTACACGGCCCCTAGCGATGGCGCCAATGGCTCGTTGGTGGTAAATTAGAGCGCAAATGGTATCGCCATGGCCAGCCACATCCGCTGAGCCACCCCACGCGGCCTGCAACCGTGCAGAAGGCCTCGGTCCCGATTCTCGCCTTGCCCACCAGCAGCCCACCACCAGTGGCTACACGGCCCCTAGCGATGGCGCCAATGGCTCGTTGGTGGTAAATTTGAGCGCAAATGGTATCGCCATGGCCAGCCACATCCGCTGAGCCACCCCACGCAGCCTGCAACCGTGCAGAAGGCCTCGGTCCCGATTCTCGCCTTGCCCACCAGCAGCCCACCACCAGTGGCTACACGGCCCTTAGCGATGGCGCCAATGGCTCGTTGGTGGTAAATTTGAGCGCAAATGGTATCGCCATGGCCAGCCACATCCGCTGAGCCACCCCACGCAGCCTGCAACCGTGCAGAAGGCCTCGGTCCCGATTCTCGCCTTGGCCACCAGCAGCCCACCACCAGTGGCTACACGGCCCCTAGCGATGGCGCCAATGGCTCGTTGGTGGTAAATTAGAGCGCAAATGGTATCGCCATGGCCAGCCACATCCGCTGAGCCACCCCACGCGGCCTGCAACCGTGCAGAAGGCCTCGGTCCCGATTCTCGCCTTGCCCACCAGCAGCCCACCACCAGTGGCTACACGGCCTCTAGCGATGGCGCCAATGGCTCGTTGGTGGTAAATTAGAGCGCAAATGGTATCGCCATGGCCAGCCACATCCGCTGAGCCACCCCACGCGGCCTGCAACCGTGCAGAAGGCCTCGGTCCCGATTCTCGCCTTGGCCACCAGCAGCCCACCACCAGTGGCTACACGGCCTCTAGCGATGGCGCCAATGGCTCGTTGGTGGTAAATTAGAGCGCAAATGGTATCGCCATGGCCAGCCACATCCGCTGAGCCACCCCACGCAGCCTGCAACCGTGCAGAAGGCCTCGGTCCCGATTCTCGCCTTGGCCACCAGCAGCCCACCACCAGTGGCTACACGGCCTCTAGCGATGGCGCCAATGGCTCGTTGTCGGTCAATTAGAGCGCAAATGGTATCGCCATGGCCAGCCACATCCGCTGAGCCACCCCACGCAGCCTGCAACCGTGCAGAAGGCCTCGGTCCCGATTCTCGCCTTGGCCACCAGCAGCCCACCAGCAGTGGCTACACGGCCTCTAGCGATGGCGCCAATGGCTCGTTCGTGGTAAATTAGAGCGCAAATGGTATCGCCATGGCCAGCCACATCCGCTGAGCCACCCCACGCAGCCTGCAACCGTGCAGAAGGCCTCGGTCCCGATTCTCGCCTTGGCCACCAGCAGCCCACCACCAGTGGCTACACGGCCCCTAGCGATGGCGCCAATGGCTCGTTGGTGGTAAATTAGAGCGCAAATGGTATCGCCATGGCCAGCCACATCCGCTGAGCCACCCCACGCAGCCTGCAACCGTGCAGAAGGCCTCGGTCCCGATTCTCGCCTTGGCCACCAGCAGCCCACCACCAGTGGCTACACGGCCCCTAGCGATGGCGCCAATGGCTCGTTGGTGGTAAATTAGAGCGCAAATGGTATCGCCATGGCCAGCCACATCCGCTGAGCCACCCCACGCAGCCTGCAACCGTGCAGAAGGCCTCGGTCCCGATTCTCGCCTTGGCCACCAGCAGCCCACCACCAGTGGCTACACGGCCTCTAGCGATGGCGCCAATGGCTCGTTGGTGGTAAATTAGAGCGCAAATGGTATCGCCATGGCCAGCCACATCCGCTGAGCCACCCCACGCAGCCTGCAACCGTGCAGAAGGCCTCGGTCCCGATTCTCGCCTTGGCCACCAGCAGCCCACCACCAGTGGCTACACGGCCTCTAGCGATGGCGCCAATGGCTCGTTGGTGGTAAATTAGTGCGCAAATGGTATCGCCATGGCCAGCCACATCCGCTGAGCCACCCCACGCAGCCTGCAACCGTGCAGAAGGCCTCGGTCCCGATTCTCGCCTTGCCCACCAGCAGCCCACCACCAGTGGCTACACGGCCCCTAGCGATGGCGCCATTGGCTCGTTGGTGGTAAATTAGAGCGCAAATGGTATCGCCATGGCCAGCCACATCCGCTGAGCCACCCCACGCGGCCTGCAACCGTGCAGAAGGCCTCGGTCCCGATTCTCGCCTTGCCCACCAGCAGCCCACCACCAGTGGCTACACGGCCTCTAGCGATGGCGCCAATGGCTCGTTGGTGGTAAATTAGAGCGCAAATGGTATCGCCATGGCCAGCCACATCCGCTGAGCCACCCCACGCAGCCTGCAACCGTGCAGAAGGCCTCGGTCCCGATTCTCGCCTTGGCCACCAGCAGCCCACCACCAGTGGCTACACGGCCTCTAGCGATGGCGCCAATGGCTCGTTGGTGGTAAATTAGAGCGCAAATGGTATCGCCATGGCCAGCCACATCCGCTGAGCCACCCCACGCAGCCTGCAACCGTGCAGAAGGCCTCGGTCCCGATTCTCGCCTTGCCCACCAGCAGCCCACCACCAGTGGCTACACGGCCTCTAGCGATGGCGCCAATGGCTCGTTGGTGGTAAATTAGAGCGCAAATGGTATCGCCATGGCCAGCCACATCCGCTGAGCCACCCCACGCAGCCTGCAACCGTGCAGAAGGCCTCGGTCCCGATTCTCGCCTTGCCCACCAGCAGCCCACCACCAGTGGCTACACGGCCTCTAGCGATGGCGCCAATGGCTCGTTGGTGGTAAATTAGAGCGCAAATGGTATCGCCATGGCCAGCCACATCCGCTGAGCCACCCCACGCAGCCTGCAACCGTGCAGAAGGCCTCGGTCCCGATTCTCGCCTTGCCCACCAGCAGCCCACCACCAGTGGCTACACGGCCTCTAGCGATGGCGCCAATGGCTCGTTGGTGGTAAATTAGAGCGCAAATGGTATCGCCATGGCCAGCCACATCCGCTGAGCCACCCCACGCGGCCTGCAACCGTGCAGAAGGCCTCGGTCCCGATTCTCGCCTTGCCCACCAGCAGCCCACCACCAGTGGCTACACGGCCTCTAGCGATGGCGCCAATGGCTCGTTGGTGGTAAATTAGTGCGCAAATGGTATCGCCATGGCCAGCCACATCCGCTGAGCCACCCCACGCGGCCTGCAACCGTGCAGAAGGCCTCGGTCCCGATTCTCGCCTTGGCCACCAGCAGCCCACCACCAGTGGCTACACGGCCCCTAGCGATGGCGCCAATGGCTCGTTGGTGGTAAATTAGTGCGCAAATGGTATCGCCATGGCCAGCCACATCCGCTGAGCCACCCCACGCGGCCTGCAACCGTGCAGAAGGCCTCGGTCCCGATTCTCGCCTTGCCCACCAGCAGCCCACCACCAGTGGCTACACGGCCCCTAGCGATGGCGCCAATGGCTCGTTGGTGGTAAATTAGTGCGCAAATGGTATCGCCATGGCCAGCCACATCCGCTGAGCCACCCCACGCGGCTTGCAACCGTGCAGAAGGCCTCGGTCCCGATTCTCGCCTTGCCCACCAGCAGCCCACCACCAGTGGCTACAGGGGATCCT